ATGTGGGACAGGGGCTGGACAGGTCACCTCTTTCTCTGGGGTTGCACTCAAGGATTTCTAGGATCCTTTCTAGCTTTTGAAGTCCCTGGGTAATGCAAACGGTTAATGCACTGCTAACGGAAAGGTTGGAAGTTCAAGTCCACCCAGAGGTGCCTTACAAGAAAGTCCTGGCAATCCATGTGTGAAAAGTCAACCATTGAAAACTGTATGAAACACAATTCTACTCTGACATGCAAGCGGTCGCTATGAGTTGGAGTCAACTTGATGGCAACAAGTTTCTAACTTTTAACATTTTGAGTCTCTACCCAACAAGGCCCTTAAGAAGGGTAGAAAGTGTCAGACTGACTTTTTGTCTTATTTGGGGGTGGGGGAAGGGTGGGAAATGCAGAAATAAAACAGGAAAGTAGATGTCCACATTCAGTGCATCCCAGGCAGAAGGGCAGAGAAACGAGAAAACAGGGAGGGATCATTGCAGGCCTATGAAGATTTTATTCATTCAGCAAATGGTTACTAAGCACCTACTATGCTAGGCCCTGTACTAGATGATTGAGGCATAGCCCCTGATATCCTCAAGCCCAGTGAGGGTCAGAGGGACTGACAGAAATGTAAACACGTGGTGTATAGTGCTAATGATGATGTCATTGAGAACTTCCCAGGTCACTGTGAGGGGCACACAGGTGGGAGTGGTCAGCAAGGATCAGAGTCATACTTACAATGTGTTTTAAGCCTGTGCAAAGACCTTGGACAACTTGGAGGAAGCGGTTTATGCTGTTCCAAGCCTGCACTTCAAGTGCCCCCAGCCATTGCTAGAATCGGTAAGGTGATGAGAGTTGGCTTGGGCCGGGAGTGTCCTGGTAGAGCCATAGAGGGAGGGTCTTACATTCATGAATAGCCCAGACACCCCTGTGGTCAGCAAGGCCGTGGTCTGACACTGCTCGTTCCCACTCCACAGGCTGGCTGAGCATCTGCGGCAGACCAGGGCAGCTTTGGTGTTCCAGAAGCAGTACCGGATGCACAGGGCCCGCCTGGCCTACCAGCGTGTCCACAGGGCTGCTGTGGTCATCCAAGCCTTCACTCGGGGCATGTTTGTGCGGAGAATCTACCACCAGGTAAGTCGTCAGCAGCCACCTGAGGGCCTCATGGGCTGCAACTTCAGAACTAAAGCAGCAGCAGCAAGTGAATCATCTCCAGCAGGAACGTGCGGGAGATATTCCTAACTTGTCCTAAGTACTTTCATGTCTCTGTTCTCACTGAGTGCTCGTCAAAATCCTGTGAGGTAGAAAGGGTGCATATTTGGCAGCTGAGTCACTTCCTGAGGGCTGATAGTCGGCAGAGCCTGGTGACCTGCGTTGGGCTCCTCTAGACTTGAGAGCTGAAGGCGATGTTAGACATCCTGTGCTCTAGCGCCTTTGTTCAATGGATTAGAAGCCTGAAGCCCAGCAAGGGAAAGTCAGGAGAGGGTCCCTGACCTCCCCTCTGCCAGTCCATTGCTTGCCTCATCATTCCAGTGAAGCTGAGGTACTTGGCTGGAGAGTCCTGAGTCAGGACACATCCATTCCACCAAGTCACACCAACACAACTGAAGCTCAGTGCCAAGATGAACAGTAGATTGGAAGGGAATTTCTAAAACAATTCTTTCATTTTTTCATAAAATGAACATCTATCTCTTCTATGACAAGAAAATATGCTATTTTCTAAATAATGAAAGTAAAGCACTAAACTGATAACCAAAAAATGAGATCTGGCATCAGAGTAGAACACACCATAACACAATAGGTGGGAAAACCCAGGCCAGTGGGAGAATCTGTGAATATTCTGGAGAGATTAGTGATATCTGTGTGATGTCACCATGGGAGGGACAGGTGACATCTGAGAGGTAGGTAGCATGGTGCAGCGCGTGCAGAAAGCAAGCGTGAGGCCTGAACCCTAGCTCTGCCTTTCACCGCTGTGATGCTGGGCATGTTAATCTTGCAGCAGGTTTGCTTATTGATTGATTCCACAAACATTTATTTTGAGGAGCCCTGGTGGTGCAGTGGTTAAGAGTCCAGCTGCTAACCAAAAGGTCGGTGGTTTGAATCCCCCAGCCGCTCCTTGGAAACCCTATGAGGCAATTCTACTCTGGACAGAGCAGAACTATAGGGTCGTTATGGGTCGGAATCGACTCGATGGCAGTGGGCTTCGTTTGGTTTT